TTCTATTTTAATTCAAATTATTTAGTTTTGTCTTCTATCTCCCATTATGTTTGATTCTATTCAATTTTATTCTTGTCCAATTTGTTCTACTTTGTGATAAGATTTTATGTTGCTATGGATTAGAAGGATCTTAGACACCTATAATAGATCGGTCTTGTTTCAAACTTAACCTCAATTCTAGAAACTTCCATGGTTCTAACTATCTATTTCTATATACAAATATCTTATCTATACCCTATTACAATGATGTTCTTTATAAAAATTATCACCTTCAAGGGAGTTCACAAGATGATTGTATTGAAAGTTTGAGCAATCTTTGGCTATGTGGCTAAGTTGTCAACAACCATAGCAAGTGATGGAACTAATAGATCTTACTCTAAAATAAAAAATTGTACCTTAGAAAATAAGTTTGTCTATAACTTTAAACCTAATTTGTATTTGATATGGTATTGGCATGTTCTAGTTTAAGAAGTTAAGATGGTGTCATGTATTGCAATGTTAAAGCTTTGACATGTGATGAATTGAAGGAAGAATATACATACTTATATCTTCTTTCATACTAATGTCTATTGTAAGTAGTTTCCACCTCAATTATTATAATTTTGTAATATTCATGGTATTTGAGATGTCATAGCTATTGCCTATATTTGCACTAAAATTTCCTCTAAATTTTTAATTTTTTTCTAATTTTTAAGCAATGAGATTCAATAATGGTCTTTTTCATTATTATTGTAAAAAATAGATTCATCATATAGGATATCCCTTGAATTGTTATTTTATAAGCTTTGAATAATTTATTGTATATAATGTTGATAAGTATTTTATTAAGTATTTTTTTTTCAAGCATGGTCATTTGATCACATGGATCACTTGCTTTGATGAGATAAATACTTACATCACCTGTTTTACTAAAAATATTATATAATTGACTGATTAGATTCAAAATTTGTTCCTAATCACCTGCATCACACAACTTCTATAAAACTTTTCTACCTTTCGTTAGATCTTATATTTGAGCAATAAACTTGATCAGCTTGTTGAAGACATGCATGATAAGTGTATATTAAAGTCTTACCTTTGTCTCATTTAACTTATTCAGGTTCTTATATATATATATATATATTTTTTTTTAAATAAAAGAAAACTCAATGGAAGTTTGTCTAATTTAAATTAGGCTTCTCAACTGATTTCTTTTTAGGATTGCCTCTATTTTAATGTGCCATACATAATAGTCAGCAAGTCCTTCTAACTTGCTAGATTTTCCAACTTCATAGTTATTCTTGCTAATGTAGTTTGACATTTTATATAATTATAGCTTTAGATCTAAAGTCTAATCTTTCAATGACTTCTTTTTTATCTCCTTTGCTAATATCAACCTTTGTGATGTAATTTCTTTAAGATCTTTTTTTTCAATATATATATATATATTTTCTTTTCTTTTCTTTTCTTTCTTTTCTTTTTTTTTCTTTTTTCTTTAAGTATTTTTTGTTTGAAGTTTTTTTATTTAAATGCTTTTAAGAATAAGATTATAATGTCTAAAACTTGGATCTCAAAAGACTATACCAAACTTATCTTAAATCTTAGAACAAAGCTACATAAGTTCTATTGTCTATCTAGAAGCTCTCACAATTTGATACTATATTGCAAATAGATCCTTTATATACCTATGATCTATTGCAAACAAAAGAAGAGGTTATCTTTAATCTTACAAGTATAAATACTTTTAAATGTGCATATAGGTCTTAAAAATAAACATGAATCATCATATTGAAGAATTAAATTGATGATTTGATAGTGAGATTTGATCTAATATTACAACATGAATAAAAAATCTAATTTACAAATAAATATGGCTAAAGTAATGTTATCATCATGTTTCTAATAATGTTTACAATCAAATTAATATAGATACCATTGACCAAATTAAAACATATGCCTACCAAAATTGTTTTTATAGATCTATTATTATGTAGCTTCAAAAATAGATAATAAAAAAAAAATATGTAGTGTTAAGAATAAAATATGTCCAATAATTACAAAGAAAATCCTAAAAAACTGATTTTGTGTCATCAAACTTCTTAGGCAAAATAACTTTTGGTTCTCTAATGCATAAATGATATTCCACCAAAAGAGAAGTAATATGATTTAGTGTAGATATTAAAGGATTTACAAGTAACTTTATATCATCACTTCTTACTAATCTTATTGCTGCTTGTAGTAGCAAATTGAATTGTTACATTGCAAGTTTTAATTTTCTTATTTTTTTCATGTATTTATACCATTGCATTCTTCATTTCAATAAGTTTTTCTATGATAACACAATAGAAAAAAGATGTCTAATATTACTTAAGATAAAAAGAAAAAATGACTTGAAAAAAAAGAAAATTTCTAAAAATAATATCAATTTAGAAGTCAATAATCTACAAATTCTAATATGCTTATGTTTTTTCAAGAGAAAGTAGTAATCTACTCTTAGTCAATAAAAGATAAAGCTCTAATATTATAAGTATATTCTTGTCAATCTATCAAATACAACAACTCAAAGAATATAAATAAATAAGTATTTTTGTTATAAATTTCTAAAAAAAAGATTAAAATAAATAAATAAATAAATAAATATATGTATTAAAGAAGAAATTAGAATGGCTATTGGCAAAAGATAATAAAACTATTAATTCTTATAACTAAACTAGAAGCAAGAAAAGAATCAATAAAAATAAGGAAGGCCTCAATCTTATATCTATATATACTATCTAATTAGAAGCTATGTGGTGACATTTTATAGGACCTCCAACATATGTCTAACTTGCAAGGCAAGTTTCCTATATGTATGCCACATGTCTAACTTGTATTATAAGTAGCAAATATGTATGCGATACATGGCCATCTTATTCGCCAATTTTTCAACCTATCAATTATCTATAGACATGTATAAAGGCAAAGCCATATCTATCATGCTTCTAAGAAGCTTTTCCATAATATATTATCTAATTTATATCTAATTTATATCTAAATTATATCTAATTTATATCTAAATTATATCTAATTTATATCTAATTTATATCTAAATTATATCTAAATTACTTTTACCTACTTCTATGTACTCATGTCATTGAGGTAATTATAGGAATTAATATGGATGTCCATGACACAAAGATACAAAGATATTAGAAACATTTTAAACTTTGAGTATAGAATTTATCATCAATAGTTTAGCCTATTCATTTATTATAAATCCTTGTCATTTATTTAAATAATAATAACTTATTTTCTTAATAATAATTGATTAATTAATAATAAATCAATATATCTATCTTTACTTAAACTTCTTCCAAGTCTATTTAAACAACACTTCAAAATTATTACAAAAAGACTTGATGAAAATTGTAATATTACCTTTAACGTGTAAGAAATTCTTCTTGATAATCATCCATATACTAAGCTTTAAAATCTACTCACTATTGAATTATGTCTAAAATGCTCTAGTAACTTTGATGAACAATAGTGCAAACCTATTGCAATATTTTGTCTAATTTAGTAGCATCTTTAGTATCAACACTTTAAAGGAGATATCAAATAATATCGTACACACAAGTAATTTTTTCTGATATATATATATATATATATACTTATATACTGACCAATAATCTTGAAAAAAAAATTTAAGTAAAAATACATATCTCAATATTCTTATTTTTTATACAATCTTGTTTTTGCTAAGTTAATCTCACATACCAAAGACATAAGAATACATCTACTTATAACCAAGCTTCTTTGAATATGGGCAAAATGACAATACAATATTATTAGGTCTTATTAATTGCAACTACAAATATGCACATCAAAAATTAATACTGAAATATATCATTTTTTGCATAAGGATGTTCATACTTAAAAGAATTGATTTTGTATTTATAAAATAATATTTATTGCTTAAAATTAAAATGATATATTAAAGAATATAAGAACCTTGATTTTCTTATGATAAAAAATTATTATTATTAAAATAAAATAAAACCAATATTAGCATAATAAGCATTGGCAACATCATTGAATTACAAAAAAAATTGATAATATTATATTAAACATATTTAATATTTTGTTGTAATTGATAGAAAATATATATATATATATATATATATATATATAGATAGATAGATAGATAGATAGATAGATAGATAGATAGATAGATAGATAGATATATCTTTTACAATTGCATTGTGGTTTTTATATTAGAGTATCATCTTAAATCTAAATAGTTTTTAAATATTAATAACAAAGAAGATATACTTGAGATTATTCCTTCAATTTTTGTAATAAAACATAAGCTCTACATTTTCTTATGTCCACATTCTAATCTTAATATTATTCATGTCTTTCATATACAAACTATTTCAAAACCAGTTTGAAATCTATTATCATATTTACAGATTATTTTTTACAGTAGGTTTTTCTTTTCGTTTAACTATTGTACAATACTATTGAAATTCAAAATGTTAACATTTATTCATGTAGTTCAACACTTTCATACACATATCCACATACATGCATGAGAGTCTGTCACGTTTGCACTGAAAAACACACATCCCCTACTCTGCTCCCCACATTCCAAAATTAGCATACCTTTCAAGAGAATTAGTTAGAAATCTTCACAAATTATAAAAATTGTGTGGCAAACATTCAATGAAACTTCTAATACTTATGAAAAAGCTGGAAGCCCATGTAAAGCCAACTCTGACATGAGGTTGAATTGGGCTTTGACAGAAAACTACTTCCCATACAATACCAGCCAATGTTTAAGTTATCGATAAGTCGACGTTTAGTAACTGTCCTGATGCAGCTTCCGTGGAAGAACCTTTTGAATGTTTTACAAAGAAAGACAATAGATTAACGCCCTCTGCTCCATATCCTCCACATCCTGCTTTAATAAACGAAGTCTAATAAAAATTTGGAAAGTGCTACATACATGAGGATGAAAGCAAGGTAGAGAGCACATAATATAAGGAAAAGAAGGCACAGGAGCTTATAATACATTGTGGTGCACATACATACGAATTAACAGTGCTTAAATAGAATCTACTCACTTAGATCTGCCTACCCTTGAATCATAACCTTCAATCAAATTTAGGATATAATATGGATCATCTCCCCATTTTATATATCTACATGATATATCCATCTCCCTAACCACTGCTGCAAACTACTTCCCTACTTTACAAAAGATCCCTTGCCAGTAAATATACAAAAAAGAGCAAGACTTGCGATGTTCATATCCTACAAAACGCATTGGACTGGCAACGCATCCAACTTCCATCGCAAAAGGACCTTACCCGGCACTTGACAGTACGTGCATAGGGTACACTGCACGGAAACCTCCGCACCCCAACTGCAGGCTATTTACTGACTCGGCGTTCTTAACTATAGAACCCCATGCCCAAGGCCATGGATCAGAACGCTCACCTCATCGCTACCAATTTTTCATTAATATACGAAGTTGTGTTCGTATGTCTCAAAAGACGACATAGAACAACCACCTTGATTGTTAGATTGGCTGACAGTTACTTCTTCCGTATCAACTCAAGTACCACATCATCCTCTGTTACTGAAGCTCGGTCGGAACAGTTTTCAAGATCTGCATTAGTCTACAGTTACTTCTCTCTTGTAATCTCGCTTACATTACTAGATCAGCGGGTGAGAGGAGGGCCTCTTACTTTCAGCACCACTACCCCAACAAGTTTCGATTACAAAGCTTGCACCTCGCTGTGGCTGCACCAACATAGAGTTCCCACTCTATGTTACCGGCTCCAATTCGCCGACGCTGAACGAAACCCCTACACTCTGAGACATTATCCTTCTCCTCTCCAAGTCAGGAGGTCAAAAAGAGTAACCCTTGCGCAAGACCAAGATGAGCCGCTACGCTGCCTAACGGCTGCGCTTAGCGATCTAGGGAAGAAATGACCACCCTGCACAAGTAAGGTCCAATGAAACACGCGTCATATCAAACTGTGCCAGGCCATTATGTTCCATGTGCGAGTGAAATATTCTTGTGTATAACTAGACTCACTCTTAAAGCTAAATTGCTTGCATAGAAATCATAATTGCACGCGAGAATACCGCTGCAATGTGCTCAGGTACTCACCAGTCATACACTGTCGGAGAATTGGGTGGGGGCACATGCTCAAATTTAGCGGAGCAGCTTCGCGACATCTCTCTGCCTTCAGGATGGAACATACTACGCCACCTTCGATCTTTCTCCCGAAAAACTGCAGTAACCGGAAAACTTCCATGAATTGTTGCAACCCAATGCAATGCAGACTATCGTAACCACCGAAATCCAGAAATAACTCAAATGTATCATCACGTGCTTGGTATGCAAGCTACTAGACCACAAAACCAACACAGCAAACACACGTGACTCGGAATGAACGAATAGCGTGCAGAGTATTGTTGATTACTCACTGCTTGGAGAAGGTGATGCCGAAGAAGGCGATGCTAGAGACGGCGATGCTAGAGACGGCGATGCAGGGGGACTAGATCCGTAGATTCCAGGAGAATTCATCGGAGAATCAGTGTCCAGAGGACGCAGCATGATGGGCTTCTTGATTGAAATGCTTTTACTCACGCGACGCGAATCAGCTTGGGAATGGTGATATTCCGCACTTCCCCGGCGGTCGATCATCCGATGAGCAAAATCATCGTTTTCTGAAGAAACCATGTGTGGAGTGTGAGCAAGAAAAGCCAACTCTTACGTCTCATCACATTGTGCTCTAAATCGTTTTCTGCCATGCAAGGAGACGACTCAAAGAGCTCCCACTACCGGCATTGACAGATCTGCAAACCTTCACGGCGTCGACAGTCTCCAACAACGTAACAAGGATGATATTCTAAGACCAAGACACTGCGGAATGAAGATACAAGACGCGAACCATACCGTCTTGGAAAACATCTGACAAGCCAGCAGCTATACGCTCCTTGCGCAGCTTCTTCAAACCCTTGTCAGGTTGTGGCCCCGCAAGCACATCGTCCCAGAGCTTGTCCAAAAGCCCCATTGCCAACCACTAAACCGATAATATTATAAAAAACACGCTCACAACTCTCTCCCAAACCTCACCTAACTTCCTCCGACTTAAACCTCCAAAGATCTCACACCTGTCTACCTTCCTCAAGACGTCGTAAAAATCTCCTCACCACACACTTCTACACATAAATAAAAAACCAAAACGCTCTGAGAGCCCAACAAGTAAAACAACATTCCACCGCAAAGTGGCAGAGAAGAAGAACAGATGTCCGTGCTGAAAACGAGGCTATTATGTACTGTAAAGGGCAGGGTCTCTCACTGTTGTGGAAGCAGCCGCCCTTTAACTCCCTCCCCACTACGACACCCATACGTACCTCATATATTGTGCTGTATTCAGTATGGATATTCTTACCTAGATGTATAAATGTATAATACGGTGACATCCTTCTCCTAGTTTTTCGTGAACGTGGGTCTAATGAGTGAGCCTGTCACCATGTTCGGGACATGCATTGGCCTTAGGAAGCGTCTAGATATTACGTCATCATCTAGAGTAAACACAGATTCCATTGAAGAGGATGATTTTTAGATTCGGGAGATTGTTGTGAATCTACACCTTTGTAGATCCTTTACGGATTTCCGGGCAGGAGGGGTTGTGCCACGTCTGAGAGATGGGTAGAGGATTTCGGGCTGCCCGTGAGTTGAACGGTTCCTCGAAGACAATCTTGTGGTAGATTTTTTTGTATCCTGAAGGCAACGTGAGGTAAACCCTCAATTTCTGTTAGGTTTTTTAGGGTTTGAAATTACTCTCAACGTGTTTAGGGTTTAGGGTTCGATTGTTAGAGTGTTACTTGAATTCTTGGTACAACATTATTCGCTGATTTTGAACCCATGTGATTTTTTGCGATCCTTTAGTTTTGTACTCAGATTCTTGAAAATTCCACGAGGGTTTTTAAAGTCACGTTTTTCCACTTCTGGTCAATAAGCATATTAACTTCTAATGGAAATTTATACAGATTCATGTTACTTTTCAAAACATATTCTCAATTAAGATACTTCTCATATTCTCAATTAAGATGACCTAATTTCTAAAATTTCTTCAAGTTTTAAAATTTATAATGAAACTTGCCTTTGAATATTAAAAGTTGTGACACTCAAATGCATAATCCGTTTGTACCTGTCTCATTTCACAAAGATGCTTATTGTAGGAGCCATCAATGTGCTAAATTTAAGCATAATTCAAAGTTATGGGACATGTAGAACATATTGTAACTTGTCTCTTTACCCAAACAGACTTATTTGTTGGGTCTTAAATGAATGATTTTGAAAAGTGATTTTCAAGTGTGTTTTAGAACACAAATGATACATTCACAACAATGTTTTCTTTTTTAATAATCAACATCATTCTGACACCTTCACTGCAGAATAAACCATGAGCATGTGTTTGGTAGTTGTTATTTTTAACATGTGTAACCATGAAAAGAGTCTGGAATTTTTTTGTACATTTGCAAAAGTTCTATACATGTCACACCACACACCAAGCTAATTACTAATGAACAAACACTGCACACCAAGTAGAAATTGTAAGCATTTCCTTCCAACAAGTTAAAAATAAAATCACATACAATAATAAATATCAATATTTGAATAGTCATATATGAACACAAAAGCTACTCTCTGTCAATGCCTCTTTTGTACTACATGTTTATAATTGATCAACATTGTAATAAAAAATGAACACACACAATGTAACTTAAAAAAGAGAAAGAAAGAAAAAGAAAGTGTTATAAGATCTGTTATTGCACTTGTACCAGCAACATACTTTCAAGGAATTGTTTAATCAACCCACCCTTTTGCAAAAAACATCCCATCTAAACAGGAATCAGAGGAATGTGTGCCCAGTTTCATTGGTTTGTGAAAGTGCTTCAAGAATTTGCCATGATGGAGGTGCTTTGTGTGCCCCATCTTTGTATTTTTGCTCGATTTGTGAGAGGGTGTTGGATCCCTTGTGTGTGATGCTTGTTTAGATGGGTCAATTAAGCAAAATGGTGGATCAATTTAACAATCCCCTATTTTTCATATGTGAACTTTGTGCACACATTTGGCCAATGTAATTTATTGCATGTTGACAACATATGTTTTGCATTGGATTCAATCATGATTCTAAGAACAGCTCTAAATCCTTAAAATGTATTAATAGAATTCACATTCTCTCGATAAAGATTGGTGCACAACAAACTCAACTAATTTAGGTAAAAAATAGAAGTAAATCAAGATACATGTAGAAGTCTTTAAAATGGTCAGACAGCAAAGTTAGCCCCCCCCCCCTTTTTTTTCTTTTCCTTTTTTTATAAAGAAGGAAAAATCAATGAGAAATGTTGTGTATAGATGCAAAGTATTGTAGAGAACTGTTTTTATTACCTTGGGTATACTTGAAGCATTATTTTCCCTTCACAAGGTTGTCACAAAATGCCAATCCCCTTAAGAGATGAACAAATGGGTAATAATCAATTGGTAATAAACCTCAAAGGCCAAACCCATTGGTTGTGGCAGCCAATGGTAGCGTCAAACATATGTTATTTTATATACCTGGTGTTAATGGTAGCCTTAATTGTTAATCCCAATCCACATTTCCTTCAGCCATGTCCCCATTTAATACAGGCCAGAGAGAAAACAACCTTCAAACTCATGCCACAAAGGATGTATATTGGATAAATAAAGTGTACAGAATAATCACACAATTAAATTTTGAGCAAGTTCAAACTTTTTGGGAGTGCCCATATAACATGTTGGCAGGTCAGTAGGGGTATTTCAGAAATGCCAAATAACTTAGTAGTCCACAATTGTATAAGACAATACTCAAAGATGGGTGTGAGGAAACCCAGAAATCACTGCATCACCAGGATCTCTCTTACCATGTGAGATATTTTGTCACAATGTCTGACACTTTGACCATATTTCATCCCATAAAATGATCATCCATTGAACACTGTTCATCAATTGGCACATACCAAAGTGTGTTAGTGAAACCCCTCCCCCCAAATTTGGCAGAGGGTAAAATAACTTTGCCATGAATCATGGGGACTGTTTGTTAGTTCACTTCCACCCACTCCTCATAACTGCCCATCAAGAGCTCCAGTTTGCATCTCCCTGCAAACAAATGAAATCTCACTGCCAAACTTAATCTGGCTCTGGACTGTCTGTGGGTGTGGATAAAATAGAGCCAGACCCTGCTACTTTCACTCCTTCTGTATACTATCTTCTCATCTTTTTGTTCTTCTTTTTAAATTTGCCTGCATCCATAAGCCATTGTTCTCACATGGGAGTGATCCCACCCACAAGCAAGTGAGTTCACCTACAAGCACTTTGTGTGATGCTAGTTACTGCACAGTTTGTGCCAATAACAGCCTCACAAGGGAACTAGAGCCAACATGTACATTCATGTTGTTAGATCTCTCTGAGCCTACCTTTTGCCCACACTTGGAATGCCCCTGTGCTCTCTCACTTGAATATCACTGTCCATGATAACTGCCAATTGTGCAACTTCTGGAATGAAGATTTTTTGTGAAGTGTAGAACAACCTTCCACCCTTGTGTCCACATCCTTATCAAAGCAGGAAGTTATAAAAGCACCATAAGGTAGCCATGAATTAACCATTATTGTAAAGGATTGACAAGATGGGGAGTGTTGCTTTGTATGCATTGAAATGAACCACCAACACAGGGCTGAAGGAATTATGGAGAGGTAAAATCACACCTCTGATATCTCACCCCTAAAAAGATATGTTTTCATTTTCAGAAGAGTGATGAAATATCTGTGAAAATTTCCCTTGGGTAGAATGAGTCTATTAAGTTTCTGAGTTACAGACGAAAGGGAATGAATCCCGATATTTTATAAGATTTGATTATCCAAAAAAAATCTCCAATCGTGAGGGAGATATATTAAAAGAAGATTCTACGAGGTTCGAGAGAATGTAGATGCTTCTGATTCATCCCCCTTTTATCTACTTTTTTCCATTCTTATGTTGTCGTCGTCGAGATCACCAGCTGTTATTGTTTGTTTCAATATCTACATGAAGTTATGGATGCCCATGTTTAACGAAGAATACCTTGCCTGGATACTTGGAGAAAATGTGGGACCGAGATTGCTTGGCTGCGTTCTAAGCTTCACCTGCTTCTGATTCTTCGAAAGGCAATCGCAGGTAAGATTCGAATCCGCGTGGCACAAAGTAAAATCGGATATTGCTTTTACAGTAGCTAAGGGTTTGGGATCTACGCGAGGTAGCGCAGATCGTGCCCACTTGGAGGTAATGGCTCACTCGCGTCGATGGGCACCGTTTCAGTAAATTTCTTACTTCAGGATATTTATCCAACAATAGATTGACACGGGGGACAATTGATTGCAAGGAGTTCGATGACGACGGGGATGAGCCCTCTTGGCTTTTCCCTCGTAGTAGAAAGCAATGGGCTCGGTGAGTCCCCTCTGGGAATAGATGAATGATAAAAGTGGATGGATGTGTGAACGAAATTTCCGCCGACATTCATGCATGAGAATTAGGGGGCCACTTCCAGGAAAACATTCCCGTCCTTCGCGTGTCCCCCCTTCCTGTTTCTGATCCACTTGGCGGTCATAATCTGGCGACGCGGTCATGGGTGACCGTGGTGTTGGCAGTTTCTATTTCCAATGCCTTACTTTTACTATATATATATATATATATATATATATTTGAATGAATGAATGAATGAGGGGGAAAAGTAAAAAGAATGTTGCAAGTTGAAATCTGTTTGATTTCATGAAATGTTTAATTCTTGGTATGTTTTTTGGTTTTGCACCTAGATAATAAAAACTACATATTTATGGAAAATATATGTTATCACTGTACATACAAAATTCATGTTTACACATATAGATAGAATTAAAAGCTATATATATATATATATATATATATATTAAATCTCCTTGAATACAAATGGTGATAGGCATCAATAAAATCAACACTTTTAAAAGATCTGGTTTTTTATTTTTAACAAAATTATTTCCTACAGCTATATGTGAAAGCAAGATTATTTCTTGGAATTTTCTACTCCCAAAAGTCCTTTTATAATTTTTTTTTATAGGAATCATTTTAAATATTTTATCAAAATAAAGAGAAGTCAAATTGGTCAAAAAATAGTGTTCTATAATGTAATACAAGAAAGTAGTACAAAGTTTGAAGTAATTTTGAGATGTATATATATATATATATATATATATATTAATAATTATAATCTTAGGTTTTTATTTTTATTTTTTTATTGATGTTTGTGGGGTTTTTTTTTTTTTTTTTTTTTTTTTTTTTTTTTTGATT